TTCTCCGTGTGTGTGTGTGTGTGTCAGACAAAGGCGTAACCATGGAAACACCACAACAACCAGACTTCTCTCTGATGTCAAGTCTGTTTCCAACAACACTTTTTCTTCGTCCACTTTCTTTTCCCTCCTCAAAACAAGCTTGAGACATTCAGGGGGCAGAGGAGGGGGAGGACTGGGGGAGGACTGGGGGGGAGACCCCGACTGCTCTCTACTTTCATACATCTTTACTTGTGAACCACCGCACTGAGGACCAGCCATTAGTGAAACAGTACAACTGAACTACACCTTTGTTTAACTAGTGACTTTAACTAGTGACCTTAACTAGTGACCTTAACTAGTGACTCTAACTAGTGACTCTAACTAGAGACTTTACACACACTGTGTGTGTGTGTGTGTGTGTGTGTGTGTGTGTGTCTTACCAACAACAATGAGCAGCACTCCTATCAGGGGCAGCAGAGAGATGTTGAGCGTGCAGCACAGAGCCACACAGGACACGATGAAGGCGATGATGAGGATGATGAGGCCGATGATCATCAGAGCAGCCACTGCCTGAGCCCAGGCTACAACAGACACAGGTCAGTGGGTCACATGACAGGAAACACCCACACAACAAACGTCACCTCAACCTTTCATCAGCTACTGACAGGGCTTTAACACAATACACAGAGAGCAACACTAGGTGGCACTACAAGAAGCTCCTGGTAATAAATAATAAATGATGGGGTCACGGACTGGTTTATAATTTGAGTTATTTTTACATGTTTACAAGAAAAACAGTGTCAAGAGCCAAAAGACTAGGTCTAAATATTCAGCTTTAAACAGTATTGATGTGCAGTATTCTAAAACCTACGTATTTTCTCCGAAAGTCTCTTTTCAACCTGTGTGTTTTGTCTGCGACGACTGAGGCACGAAAACATTTTAAAACACCTTCAAGTCAAAGTCAGTTTTACTGTCACTTTCTTCACAGTCAGTCAGTCAGTCAGTCAGTCAGTCAGACAGTCAGTCAGACAGTCAGTCAGACAGTCAGACAGACAGACAGTCAGTCAGTTTCTCACTGACTGGTGTGTAGACTCGCAGGACAACAACAGGTCCTGGAGTAATGACTCATTCTTTTAGTTATAAAAAATCAGCTTTGTGATGGAAAACCTGCTGTAACAACAGGTGAAACTAAGACCTGAGTGAAGGCATCACCTCTGGGTGAGTCCTGACGTCATCACCATGACGAGCTTTAACAACAAGGCTACGGAGATACAGACTGTCCGTGGATTAATGTGAGGCGGAGCTTTTTTTTTTTTTTTTTTTTTTAAGTCCTGCTCCACAGTGAGCTTTTAGCTAACCGGGAGCTAACCGGGAGCTAACCTGACACCGTGTTTGTCTTGTCTTGTTTTGTATAAACTTTTGTCAACAAAGTCGTACGGCGGCCGGTGCTCGGTTAAATGTTATCTGGTTGTTAATAAACACGGGACGGTGTTGGTTTAAAAGTTTCCTCCGCCGGAGCCTGAAGAAGTTCGGAGTGAAGTCCATCTCAGTCGGACTGTTGACCTACTGTAGGCCCGGACTCACGGTCCTCCCGAAGCTACACTTCTTCACTGACTGAACGTGGGCTTCGGTCTAACCATAACGTCACAGGTCACAGGTCACAGGTGTGTGTATAATGTAGGAAGGTGAACACTGAACAGCTGTGGAGGAGACGGACACTTACAGAACTCCATCAGGGACTTACAGTCCCACTGCTGGTTCCGGCCCCGACACTGTTCCCACATACTGGCGTAGTGAGACTTGGCGTCTTCGTCCTCCACCCAACCGGAAGTGGCCGCAATGGCGATGATGTCGAAAATAATAGCGAACAGCAGCAGCAGAGGAACGATCCACCTGCACCGGGGGTACGCGATTCCACAGCGGAACATGACCGAGGAGAGAGCAGCGTGGAGCGGACCGAGAAGGAGCGGGAGAGTGGTTGGAGTCAGAGCAGCCGAGAAGGTGAAAAGGCAGGGAGTGGTCTTTCCACCCAGACTGGATGACAAATATAAACTCCACCCGTGGCATGAAACCTGTTTGTGAACCTGAAAGGCTGGGCCGGAGTTCAAGTCCCGCCTCTTTCACCCAAGGTGTCACGTTTCAGTCCGAGGACTCGAGATAGAATCCGGATAGATAGACCGGGTGGTTTTAGTCGAGTCGTTACGTTATCTGTTTTGTTTTGATAATTCAAGTTTGTCGTATTTTCTTTTCGTAAATATTTATTTGGATAAATACACGGCTTTGGTGAAAAAGCTTAGTTTTATTTGAATAGTCGATTTGTTAAGTGTTTTTGTCGTCAGAATGATACAGTTGTTACAGTAGGAACACTCGTTAACAAACATGGAAGTTGACGATTTGAAGGGTGTGTTTGGTATGTGCTGGGAGGCCCGGGGGGGCGGGGGGAGGCGGGGGAGGTTTGAGGCGTAGCCGCTATCACCAAGAGACATTTTTTCCTCACTAATATACACACAGCACCTTATGTTGACAGAAAAACACAGAATTGTTGACTTTTCTGCAGATGTATTAAAAAAGAAACAGTGAAACGTTTTCACAGCCTTTGCTCAGTATTTAGTAGAACTCTCTGGAACTAACGCAGCCATGAGTCCGTGCAGATCCTGTCCAGTTCTGTCAGGTTGGACGGTTGGCGTTGGTGGACGTCCATTTTCAGGTCTCTCCACAGATGTTCCACTGGGTGTAGGTCAGGGCTCTGGCTGGGTCGTTCCAGAACAGTCCAGACTCCTTGGTTATTGTAGCTGTGTGCTCAGGGTCATCGTCGTGTTGGAGTTGAACCTTCAACCCAGTCTGAGAAGGTTTTGGTCCAGGATATCCCTGTACTTGGCCACGTTCATCTTTCCTTGATGAGACCAAGTTCAGTCTCATGTCTCTCCATCTTGGCGTCCTTCAGGTTTTTGTTTTTTTTTAACAAACTCCTTTCATGTGTCTTTGTACTGAGGAAAAACACTGAAGTGAAATGATTGTATCAAAGAGTGAAACATGTTAGGTGGTCTGGATACTTTCTGTACCCACTGCATGTGTCAGGTTTCGGAGCTGCTGCAGTGGTTCTGCAGCGACGCCCTGTGGACACATCTATGAATTGATTGTAGTGCAGAAGGCACAGTATGGAACATGTAGGATGAAGTTTTCGTTTCGCCTTCGGTGTCAGAATGTCCATAAAATGATTATCTTTAAATGTTTTGACACAACTCCACCAAAACACCTCCGTGACGAGGCTTTTTGTTTTTGGATGGAAACCACGCCCGTCCTTAAAGATGTCCATCTGTGTGGACTGATGAAGAACCACAGCTCTGTGATCACATTCAAACAAGAGCAGGTCATAATAAAAACAACAAACACAGCAGTTAATGTGACTTGATCAATAGTCCACATTGATCAGTTCAGTCCAAACAGGTCTCCAACCAACTGGGACTTTCACTCATGTGGTCAAACTGAAAACCCTGTTCTCACTAACTCAGACCTGAACGGACTTGAATCTGGTTTGACTCAAACTACATTTGTGTGACTCAAAACTTCTGAGACTTGACGGATTCAATTAAATTAATTAATTTGGATTCTAGACTGGGAACGTCACCAAGACTTCCCTCAATATACTGTTCCTCAGAACTGCAGTGACTTTTGCCTGGACTCAAATATTATTTCAATATTGAAGAGTCAGGTCCTGTGTTCCCTCTCCCTAAACTTCAATCCACCTTTGCTCTGAACGTCTGAAAGTCAAATTCTGTCTAACGGTGACGCAAACCAAAATCATAGAAATCGTGTTTAATGAATGACTAAAACAGGAATGTTCTGGTAGGAGATTTAAAAAACTGCACAGAATCAGTTTCATAATCACTGAAAACGTTCTTCGTGTCCACACTTGTCGGAATCGTCTTAGTGAAAAGTCCTTCAAGGAAACGATCTGGAAAAATTGGAACAGCACGAAGAAACCTTGGTAATAATTACGTTACATACAGGAAATCCACAGGATTTACTTATTGATCTTATTGATTTATAATATTGATTAAGATTGAATTGATCTTATTGATTTATAATATTGATCTGATTTTAACACAGAATCTTAACCCAAAACCAACGTTCATGGAAAAACAAAAACTCTCCAGGATCAACAGTCGATGGAAGTCTTTTTAAAAAATGGTCATGGACTGTGGAGCCCTAACTCTGACCCATCAGATCAGGTGACCCCCCCCCCACCACTGCTCATACATCAGTAACTTAAGTGATCAATACACTTTGATCAAATAAAATTGATCAGGTTCAGAGAAAAACAAACGTCAAAGTCAAAGCAAACTTTTATTTGGAAAGTATAAAAATGTAAAAATTACTTTATAAACAGAAGTTTCAAAAATAAGGGTTTTTACATTTTTTTCACAAAACAGAAAAATGGACTCATTCACTCAGTCACTCATTCAATCACAGTTTAATTTCATCTCATTCGCTCCAAACAGGATGAAAACTGAAACTACCTGCCGACACAAATCAGTGTCAATAAAAAAAAAATCAGTCTTAAATGTGATCCGTTCAAAGACATTATTATTTAGTTTTTTCCTCAGAGCTCAAATAAAAAAACATATTTGTTAATAAATTGACTGACCGATTGATCGATGGGAACGTCTGGTCCAGAATGAATAAACTCTGATCTGCTGTGTGTGTGAAGGACGTGTCCTCCTGCCGTCTCTCTGACATCACACACAGCTTCCTGTCTCAAAGGCACTGATCAGTGATGAGGCAACAGGCTGCACATCACAGTGTACTGGTTTTTTATATAAAGACTTGAAAAAGTGTTAAAAGTGATAAATTGTAAATAAAAATAGAAGTAGTCTCAGTCTCCACGGGGACAGTGAAGCCTCTTCTCCTGAAGCTCCAAGAAGAAGAAGAAAAAAAAAAAAAAAAGAAAAAAAAAAACTTCAGTAAGAAAATCTGGATTTCTCAATGTCAGAGATCAGTGTCCTGGCCAAGTATATCCCCACCATCTGGTAAGAAAGAGAACTGAGGGTCACACACACACTCTCTGTAGAAGTACTGCAGTATTTGCGTGTACTCATACCTGCAGCAGAGAGATGACGATGAAGACGATGGCCACCGTGTACAGGTTTCGAGGTAACCAGTCCTCCAGCGCTGCGATGCATCCTCTCACGTAGATGTCTTTGCTCCACTCACCCTGCACAGGATGTAGACACACACACACACACAGTTAGACAAACACTTCCTGTTTCCTTCACAACACTTCCTGTTTCCTGTGATGATTCCACTGGAAACTCACTGATGCTTTACTCCTGACATCGTAGCCACACTGAGTGTTCACCACCGAGTCCTGACAGCAGAAACAATAAATAAAAACACAACTATGTTAATCTGAAGTATTGATCAGGGTTTTTTTTTTCTCTTGTTTATTGTGATTCTCACAGCAGGATCAGTGAGGCAGCAGGAGAAAGGCACGCCACATCGTTCCCTGCTGCGATTGGTTACATTACAGCTGAAGTAGACGTTGAGGTCCCAGTCCTTAGGTTCCTGAGCACCACAGCAGTGGTTCTGTTCAGAAAAGAAACCCAGAGATAATCCACCTGAGAGACATGAAGAGCCCTGGCCAGAAATAAGCACTGCTGGTGTTTACCATCCTCTGCAGGGAGTCGATGAGGTTCTGCAGGTCGATGTCATCTCTGTATGCTTTGACATTTGCCAGGAAGAACTCATTAATCCATTCCCTGACCTGACTCTGGAAGACGACGGCCAGAACGGCTGCTGTCAACTCCAGGAAGAAGATGAAGCCGATAACGCCAGAAAACTGAGCAGAGAAATGTGTTGGACGTAGGTCACTGTAGGTCACTGTGGGTCACCTCAGACAAAGACGTACTTGACTGACAGGCTCGTCACCAACCAACTCTGATTTGAAAGATGTGCTTTTTTTTTAAAGTAGAAGCCAAAGATGAGGAGGAGGAGTTTGAGGTTTTTACACGTACAAACTTCAGCAGACAGATGTTTTCTCTCAAGGCGCCCACACAACCAGCGAAGCCCAGGACGAAGGTGACTCCACCCACCACCAGAACCAACCACACTGGATCAAAACCATGCAACCGGGTCACCTGGGTCAGGTCCAACAGGACTCCCTGACAAAAACAAGAGAGCAGGGTTTGTTCACACCATTCACACCGGCTGTTCACGTGGCCTCACCGAGGAGAGACCATCAAAAACAAATTACCTTTTCACTCCAGGCCCAGAAGCCCACAGCGATGAAGGCCACTCCTGCCAACTGTTCACACACACACACGCACACACACACGCACGCACACACACCATTATCCTTGATCTGAGACAGAAAATTATTTTTAAAAAAAAGGATTTTCCACAGCCCTCATTTCAACATAAAGTCATGAAATCACTTCCTGTAAAAGTGGCCTCAGCCTCAGCAGGATGTTTCCTTAGTTAGAATGTGACATGGTTTGAGTGTGTGTGTGTGTGTTTCTTACCCAGAAGATGATGTTGTAACTGAACATCAGATATTTGTAGCAGCAGCTCACCTCAGCATTTTCATATCGATAATAATACATCTGTCAAAGGAACACGCTGCAGTCAGTAGGTCTGTGGTTCGAATCTGACACAGCACTGACGACGGGACATTAATGACAGTCACTGACAACAGCTGAGGGACTGAAGGGAGTGTCAGTCAGTTCTATCTAATCACAGTCAGAGTCTGTACTGACTCAGTCCAGCCTGGCTCACTGACCGACTCACTGTTACACGTCATTATGTCTGTTCAGCCAAAAGAAAGTTAAAACTCATTAATACTTTGATATTATACGGTGTCGGTTCTGTTCTCTGGGTATTTACTGACGTAAGATCACCGACCGCTTTAGTGAAGTAAACCCGGGCTCGGACGGAGTAGCCACTCCGCCTCAGTACCGGACTGACTGACCGGAGAGACTCGGACTGTTTTGTTCTCGTCACCCTGGCGTGTTGGGCGGGCGGATACTCCGACACAAACTGTCCGAGGTCCGCCCTGGTACAGGGCTCAAAACCCTCTTTTAAAATAAAAACTGTAAAAACTATTTTAGCTTTATTTATTTTTCTGCTAAGAGGAAGCGGCTAACGCTAACACGAACACGATAAGACTCTTACGAATGAAGTTCCCGTTTTCACCGAATTTGGACCCCGGGTCCCGGTTCAACGGTGCAGCTCGGAATCGTTCGTCCTTACCTCAAAAACAGTTCAAACGCCCAGATCCCAACAAATTTGAGGAGCGAACACGACCAGAACTTTCGAACAGAAGAAGTGAAGCGACCTAAACACTTTTTCTTCCCTCCCCTATAAGTTTTCACGTACACACTTGAAACGTTACACCGCCCCCTGCAGGACAATTAAAACCGCACACCAACACAAAGAAAGCCAGGTACAGCACTACTAACCCAATACAATCTTTTTGTTTCTGTTCTATTCTTGGTTTTAAATGTCAAACGTGACTTGATATGTTCAAATCAAAATGCTTTGCTTGTTTGGAGTTTATTTCCTAGTCGTCAGTTACCAGCACTTTTTTATTCTTTCAAAACGTACAACACTTTTGAACGGTACAAAAATAATGACACTGAGGATTGAGGAATCATGGGAAGTGACGAATGCTAAAGTTGTTCTTCAGAAAAGTGAATCGTTATCTTCACGTCACTCATCTGTGTTCGCCGCAGTCTGCTGCCAAACAAGGGATGTTTCAAGACAAGGCTAGGCTAGGCTAGGCTAGGCTAGGCTAACAAGACCACCAGTGCTACATTGGCTTAGGCAGTTGGCATAGCAACTGTTACTTGAGAGCCGATAGCTGGAAATGTAACAGAAAGTGAACTTCTTGCGTATACCACTAACACGTGTGCAAGTAAAATCAACAAATAAATCGATTAAAGAAGACAAGACAGGATTTTAACTAACTTTTCTTCCCTCCGATTCTCTCATTGTCCCATTATTTACACCTTCCTCCTCAGTGGAGAAAGCGGTTATGGCAGAAACCTGGAAGAGACTCTGAGTCCAACTCTTCCTGTTGTCGTGCCACGGGTTTATATTACACACAGTGCCTGGACTAATTTTCCCAATCAGAATAGTAAATTACATCAAATAAAATTTACCTCTACTTTCTGATCTAAATAGTCAGTTTTGGTGCATTATTTTCCTACTGAAAATGACAACAACAAAAAAAAGAAAAAAAGACGGAGCCCTTGCCTGCCCAGCAGCACTCATCTTCACCTTAGTTTGATTAGACAGTAAGCATCAGGAAAGTCACATCACTGCCCCCTTGTCACAATCTTTTAACACATTCTAATCTATTTGTTTGTTCTCGACAGTTAGTACAAAGAGTATTTAATAATACCGTCATCACGGAAAACCGTACATTTGTCTCCCCCTTTGGAAACAGAGTGATTGCCTTCCCTCTAGTGGTAGCTGTGCGTCATGGTATGTTCACCACATGTTCACCACATGTTGACCGTTTAGCAGAGAGGCCAGTCTAACTGCTGAACAGCCAGTTCACCCTGAGCGGTACAGACTACTTCTAAAACTTGTCGTGGGCACTTCCTGTGGGCACAACCTGTCGCAGCTGCCTGATTGTTGTCGCTTCATCCTCGCCTCCGTCAGTTTGGATGGAAAAGGAATCTTTTCCAGTGTGAAATGCCACCCGGCAACTGGTGATTCCGACTGCCAAACACAGAGAGTTGCTGATTGGCTTGATCAGCGTTGTGTAAATGTAAGGAGGTTGGTTGATATTTCAAGATTGTCCATTCTTTTTCTTTTTCTTCAATTTCTGTCTCTTTTCCTTCTTCTTCTTATCCTTTTCCTTTTTCTCCTTCACTCGTTTACTCTCTTCTGTAAGAGGAGTAATAATTTTCCCCACATCAAACTCCTCCTCCTCCTCCTCATCGTCATCGTCGTCGTCGTCTTTGGTGCTGTCACCGTCGGTCCTCACCTGGTCTTTGGCGCTCATGGTTTGAAGCTGATTTAGAAAGCAGGTTATTTGTGTTAACTCCGTCTCAAAATCCCGTTTGAGCTTCTGCTTGATTTTGAGCTGCCGCAAAAGACTCCTTTTCTCTGTCCTCCAGGCAATTTCTTCAGCCAAGGCTTCTTCCCTCTCCTGCCGCAGCTTCGCGATCTCCTGCTCTTTCTGAACTCTCAGAGACTTGATGTCCCCCCGCACCAACTCACTGAGTCGCTCATTGAACTCAACCAGAGACAGCTCCAGGACCTCCTTCTCTAACATGGCATTGTGCGTGGTGTTCTTGTCCTCTTCGCTCTCTTCGTCATAGTCGTCGTCTTTGCTTCTCCCGCCTGTGCTGTTGTCATCGAATTGGTGGAGAAAGGAGTCTTCAAAATAGTTGGCCCTCATGGGGCTGGCCATATCGTCCCCTTCATCCTGTATAGTAAGACTCTCACTGTTTAGTCTGCTGGACTCTGAGCTGGCAATCGACGTCATCTCTATTAATGTGTGTCTTTGTTACTTTATATCAGTTACTTTCATCTTTTCTTCTGCCTCTCTTTACCCTCGGGCACAGCTAAGGGCACTCAGCACTAGTTACAGTTCCCTGGTAGAAAATGCTGAGGCTGACATAAGGTACTGCAGATGACACTGTGCCTTTGATGTTCCACTGGAGAACTTTGAAGATTAGGAATGGCGTGTGACATCATAAAAGTGCTTACGAACCCTGAAGACAGCGTTCTTTCTCCATCCGCTCAGACCCAGAGTGTTGGGTTGAAGTGACGAGGCCACGGACCTCAGCGTCACTGTGACTGGGGCGCTTTTAGGTGCTCAACCCTCGTGTTGACCATCCATCCAGTGTGTGTGTGTGTGTGTGTGTGTGTGTGCGCTCCTGTACTGCACGGCCTGTGTCAACCTTTCCTTGTATTCATTCATACTCATATTCTGGCTCAAGATAGAAATCTGTTGCGACGACACTGACTGTGTACAAAATGACAACAGGTCTAACTAACTAACTAACTAACTAACTAACTAACTAACTAACTAACTAACTAACTAACCTGTAAAACTGATTAAATGAATGGGACATGTGTTGGTTTTAAGGAGTTTTGACTCAAAGAGAAACTCAATAAAAACAAGTTTGGATTTGTGAAAAACTACATCCAGTTCAATTTTCTTGCGTAATTATCTTTAAAAAGTACAAACAGTTCCCACAAACATGGAATTTCAAATAAAAGAATTGAATTTAAATCTTTGATGTCATGGTTCAACTCTTGGTGTCAGGTTAATAACGACTGTGTTGGTAAAAATGAAATCTGTTCAGTCCAAGGTTGTACTGGTTTACGCTCATGACATGAAGAGTGAGGCCAGAGCTGGAACGAAGGGACGACCCAGGGTTTGATGGAACAAAGATCAAAGTCTGTGATGTCACAAAAATCAAAGGATAAAGCGTAGAGGGATTTTGGCCATTATTAAGAAGACCCCCCCCCCGCCCCCCCCCGACAGTTTCACATGTTGGATATGGACAAACCCAAAAGGAAGCAACGATGCAACCTTACAAAACCTAAAAAATAGAAATGACTACCAAACGTTTAAAAAAAAGGAAAAGCCGTAAGTCTAAGGCGTCAGGTGGCGAAGCCACACCCCCTGAGGTGGCAGCCAATAAGCCTGCAAATTTTGAGGCCACACCTGGTAACAAGGCGACCACTGAAGGCATAGTCACTGATGCTACAGCGGGCAAACCAAACGCAACCGCCCCCGACGTTACGATGTGCACAACGATGTCGATGCTGCGTCTCTTGGACACCATCCATTACTACAGAGACCGGTTCGACTACCCTGACCTGTACCGGCAGTGGAAGGTCGTGAGTGACGAGCTGGTGGTGGTGCGAAAGGAAAGGGAGATCCTCAAGAAAGAGATGAAAGCTGCGGCCGAGGCCAGGCAGAGCGAGAAGGACGCCCTCTGCCAAAACATCAAGGAGGTCGCCAACGCAGGTGAGTGTGTGAACCTACAGCGCTGTGAGGCACTAATGCAGCTGCAGATGCAGTTCAAATACCACTACACCAAGATAGACCTAGACCTAGACGGCGAAAAGACTGACAAGATCACCCACCTGAGAAATAGGTTTAAGGAACTCACCAGACCCAAAGTCAAGAAGACACTGAGGAGGAAACTGAAGAGAGCATTTGCCAGGCTGTTTGGCTGTTCATGAAACCACCCCCGACCTCAAAGAAAGAAATGTTGATCCTCCTTCTATCTCATGCTGTCTTTGATTAGTTCCTAGAGCTCCAGCACGTGCCATCAAAGAGCCCCCAGAGCAGGGGGGGTGAGGGGGGCAGCGGGAGTATTTTCAACTTCCTCTTTAGGAGCTATCATAGCACTTTGAAACCCTGACCAAGGCATCCACCAATGCAGCTCTCGTGTCACAGATAATCACAGATACAGTCGGTTGATTGGTTTTGTCAGTGAGCCTTTTGAATTGTTTGTTAGGAACGTCCTTGGAACTGAAATGTCTTTGAATTTCTGAACTGATTAAAACAACATTATGAAACCCCTGGTATGGAAGGACGTTGATGGATCTCACTGAAGGTCCCAGCCTCACAGCATATACTATATAATATATACATATATAATATATATATATAATATATATGTATATATAGTTTATAGTTTATATATATACTATATATGTATATATATACTATATATATGTATATATAGTATATATATACATATATATATATATACTATATATACATATATAATATATATGTATATATAGTTTATAGTTTATATATATACTATATATACATATATAGTATATATATACATATATATATATATACTATATATGTATATATAGTTTATAGTTTAACCCTGACAGTGTTGTGTGCATAGCTGGAGTTAATAAACAGCAAAGCTTCCACTGTGGTCTGTGTCATAACTGTATGGGTCAGTGTATGGGTCAGTGTATGGGTCAGTGTATGGGTCAGTGGTCTGATTAATGGTGGTGTTTTTCAAATGAAAAGACAACATAAAGAAAGGACGAGACAACACCTGACACCTGACACAGTCGTACTGTAATACTTGACACCAGGTTAACGTGTGACAGCTGATGTCACAGGTCCAGCTGGGTCATGTGATCAGCTTCACTACACTAACACAGCTGATCAGTGTATCACTCACGCTCTGACTCTCATGTGTTTCCTGTCTTTGTCTTTGTCTTCATCCGTTTCACAGGACACGGCAGCTTTTGTGTTCATCACTTTGACAGGACGAGGTGTCAGAGCAACGAACACAGACGGACGACAGACGACGTTGACCGTCACCATCAGAGCAGCAGAGGAGGAGAGAAATATAAACAACAGCAGCATCAACTAACACTGACTGACTGGTGACTGACTGACTGGTCCCTGACTGACTGACTGACTGGTCCCTGACTGACTGACTGACAGACTGGCTGGCTGTTGGACATGACAGCAGGTCAGCAGTGAAAAGTGGAACATATTTAATTCCAGCTCCAGTCGACACGTTTTTAAACCTCTTTTATTTGTTAACTAGATAATCTAGTTAACTAGATAATCTAGTTAACTAGATTATCTAGTTAACTGTCAACCATTTCTTTACTCACAGGGAAATGTGACTCATTAAAATAAAACTTCTATAACCTGGTTGTTTTTCTACATTTGACACAGATATATGGGTTTGGACTGGAGAACTTCTGGAGAACCCCTGGAGAACCGCTGGAGAACCCCTGGCGAACCTCTGGAGAACCCCTGGCGAACCTCTGGAGAACCGCTGGAGAACCCCTGGAGAACCCCTGGCGGACCCCTGCCGAACCCCTGGAGAACCGCTGGAGAACCCCTGGCGAACCTCTGTGGAGAACCTCTGGAGATCCCCTGGAGACCCTCTGGAGAACCCCTGGCGGACCCCTGCCGAACCCCTGGAGAACCCCTGGAGAACTTCTGGAGAACCTCTGGAGAACCGCTGGAGAACCCCTGGAGAATCCCTGGAGAACTTCTGGAGAACCTCTGGAGAACCTCTGGAGAACCTCTCCCTGATGCAGACCAGCGCCATTCTCCTATGGCAGCTGGACCTTTGACCTGTTGGACTAGTTGAACATTCCAAAGCCATAAATCCAAGTACACATGGAGTACTTCAGATACTACACTGTTCAGACGTGTAGTCTGTGTAAATGTGTTTCTACTAGAATGTTTGAAAAGAGAGAGAGAAATAAAAAGGGTGAACGGTTGAAGGGGATTGGTGGTTGAATGTTGTGTGTGACACGACAAAGCATTGACGTCAAGGTGTAAACAGTGAGTCACGTGACCCACTCCTGTCACTTCGTCCTAACGTTCAGCTCAGCAGAAGGACGGAGGGCGGGAAAGGCAGCATAACTGCTGCAGTGACTCGGAGTGAACAGACCGTGGAGCTGTCAGCAGCGCCGTGGACACACAACGACTCCAACCTGGATGATCAGCACCGGCTCCCGGAGCCACGGAACCTCCCGTCAGCCGCACCGACGGTGAGTGAACTTCCCTGATAACTCTGGTCATTTGAACAGTTGGGTTAAAAAGTAGTTCCTTCAGGGTCGGTACTACTTTGGATAAGACGTCCAGGATGACTGAGAACCTCAACAGAAAAGTTCGGTTTATTAATGTTCTTATTTCACATAGAGTGAATGTTAATCGACCAAAGTCACCAAACGACACGTCTCTTCCGTTCGGCGTCATATATTAAAAACACCAGGTGGAAATAACGACATGAAGTTTCTCTTAAATCGTCGATTAAAAACGAGTCCAATAATGTCTTCATCTCCGTCGGAACATTTTGATTTCATGGCGCGGTAACAGTTATTTGACCAATGTTGTGTATTTATTCATTAACTTTTATCACAAAGAGTGAATATAAACACATCAAATTTATTAAAATACTTGTCGCTAAAATGGCGGTTTTTAAATCCTACCGTTTGTGTTTTGTCAATAACCCGTACACATTAAACATCCTTATATGGAAAACCAAAAAATATCATGTCTTAATGACGTCAAACGTAGACTCGTAAAGTAAATGTCATGAAATGTATAATTCAAGTTATTTATTAAATGTTTTTTCCAACTACTCTGGAGGTTTGTCTCTATTTGACATACAAAAGTAAATGGAATTAAATGTTTTTATTGTAAATCATCATGTTTTAACCATATAGCAAAATGTTTGTTTTTTTTAAAGACAGTTGATAGTCTGAAGATTCTGAAGAAAATGTACTGTGGAAATAATGACCTCACTGTTAAATCTTAATAATATAAATGTTTAATCAAAATGTGGTTTTAAGATTAGAAAATACACCTGATAAAAATGAAATTGAATAAATTATATTAAAGGAACCATGAAAAGGTAGAAAGACAAACAGTGTCATGACAAACAGAATCATTTTGTCCCTGGGACACGTCAGAATTTAATGACCTAATTAATATGACACACACACACAGACACACACACACGGTTCCATGGACAGATAACTGCCCTGGAACCACAGGTTCAGAGGTGGTTTTAGGACTGATCGTCTGAGCCGCGGCGTCAGATGTCTCAGTTGACGACCTCTGACCCTCTGTGTTGAGGACGTGTTTCGTGGCCGACCTCCTCTGACTGGTGGTTTATGAGACTTTAATTAAAGAGCGTCTCATTAACGACGTCTGCTCAGCTCCATTGAAGAGGAGTTTGTTCATGACGTCATCACGTCACCTGACCTGGGACCATTTCTGAAAGTGTTTTTATGACTCTCTGGTTTATGCTACATACTTTACCTTTAAGGCAGACGCGTCAAACTCAGGCCCGGGGGCCAAATCTGGCCTGTGGTGTAATCATATTTGGCCTGTGAGATGAGTGTATGTGCAGGTTTATATCAGATATATATATATATATATTTATGTTTGTTGTTGTTGGTCTGTGAAAAAATGATTGACATTAAAAAGTTTACAGATAAAGAGACAGAAACAAACTGATGTCTTTATAATATTAAACTTTGGTTGATCCAGAGTCAACGTTTACACAAAACTGAACTTTGTTTCCATATGAAAAAATGCTGCTGTTACTGCTGTTACTGCCGTTACCCCTGCTGCTGCTGCTGCTGTTCCTGCTGTTACTGCTGCTGCTGCTGCTGTTACTACTGCTGTTACTGCTGCTGTTGCTGCTGTTACTGCTGTTACTGCTGTTACTGCTGTTACTGCTGCTGTTACTGCTGATGTTACTGCTGCTGTTACTGCTGCTGCTAGTGTTGCTGTTACTGTTGCTGCTGCTGCTGCTGTTCCTGCTGTTACTGCTGTTACTGCTGCTGCTGTTGTTGCTGCTGCTGCTGCTGCTGCTGCTGGTACTGCTGTTTCTGCTGCTGTTACTGCTGTTGTTACTGCTGCTGCTGTTACTGTTGTTGCTGCTGTTGTTGCTGCTGTTGTTGCTGCTGTTACTGCTGCTGCTGCTGCTGGTGCTGCTGCTGTTGTTGCTGCTGTTACTGCTGTTACTGCTGCTGTTGCTGCTGTTACTGCTGCTGTTACTGCTGATGTTACTGCTGCTGTTACTGCTGCTGTTATTGAACAAACACATATTGATGTTAGTATCCAGGTCGTCTGTGCATCTGCCTGAGATCTTATTGATCCAACATCAGTGTCTGTGTTGGTTTAGGACGATGTTACTCTCTCTCTCCCTCTCTCTCTCTCTCTCTCTCCCTCCCTCCCTCTCTCTCTCTCTCTCGTCCTCTGTCATAACCCAGTTGTTTTCACGGCTCATCTCTGTTCAGTGTCAGACGTTGACACATTATTGACGTCGGCTGCAGAGCTCAGAAAATTCAGCTTCAGCCTCAAAACAAAAGATGAATGAGTGAATTTTAGTGAAGTGTGTTTGACGACGGCTGCTCCGTTCAGTTTGAGTCATTAAAAGAGCACCAAGAAGAAGCTGCTGATGAACCAACAACCCTTATGGACTTTGATGGAAAATCCCTCATTTTCTCTATGGGTTTAGGATTAGAAAACCAGACTGTGTGGGGGGGCGTCGGGGGGTTCGATGCTGTTAGTTGATGCCATCCAAGTAATCGATTTGAGTGAGGATCAAAGGCTGACCTGAATCAGTTCAGTAATGATTGTTACATAAGAGACCCTGACACACACACACACACACACACACACACCCATAGACAGGTGGGTGGGTGTGTAAATGTTGATGGTTGTTCATTTGACTGTAGCGTGGGAAGATTTCAAGGCTGACTGGTGAAAAGAGGACGTGCACGGGCCCATGGGCGTGCACGTGTTATCTCACACCTCAGCCTTTAACTGACATCTGAACAAATGAAAGCACTCCCCAGACTGTGTCCTCAGAAAGAGCAGTGTAACTAGAACTAGAACTGTAACTGTAACTAGAACTAGAACTGTCACTAGAACTGTAACTGTAACTGTAACTAGAACTAGAACTGTCACTAGAACTGTAACTGTAACTGTAACTAGAACTAGAACTGTAACTGTAACTGTAACTAGAACTGTAACTAGAACTGTAACTAGAACTGTAACTGTAACTAGAACTGTAACTAGAACTAGAACTAGAACTGTAACTAGAACTGTAACTAGAACTGTAACTAGAACTAGAACTGTAACTAGAACTGTAACTGTAACTAGAACTGTAACTGTAACTGTAACTAGAACTGTAACTAGAACTAGAACTGTAACTAGAACTGTAACTGTAACTGTAACTAGAACTGTAACTGTAACTAGAACTAGAACTGTCACTAGAACTGTAACTGTAACTGTAACTAGAACTAGAACTGTAACTAGAACTGTAACTAGAACTGTAACTGTAACTAGAACTGTAACTAGAACTAGAACTAGAACTGTAACTGTAACTGTAACTAGAACTGTAACTGTAACTAGAACTAGAACTGTAACTAGAACTGTAACTAGAACTGTAACTGTAACTAGAACTGTAACTAGAACTGTAACTGTAACTGTAACTAGAACTAGAACTGTAACTGTAACTAGAACTAGAACTGTCACTAGAACTGTAACTGTAACTGTAACTAGAACTGTAACTAGAACTGTAACTAGAACTAGAACTGTAACTAGAACTGTAACTGTAACTAGAGCTCCATTTCTCCAGTCACTGCTGATTGGTTCTTGTCTTGTTCCTATGACATTTTAATCATATATAAATGAACTCCTTCCTCAACACAGCGTGTATCCAGCAGGACGTGGTGGAGTAAAATATAAACACTGGAACTTTTTTCCTTTCTTCTGATTGAACTCACTGACTTGAAACAACAGTCATATTTGTCTACCGTCTGATTGGTCGGCTGGATTCTCCAAATCAAACGTGACGGCCTTGTTGTCTGTCCTTGGGTTGGGGTCAGGTTTGTCACGACACGTCCGCTTCCATCACTGTCAGCGTCTCGTTTTTACTCTTCCCTCTGACGACGCTGACGCTGCAAATGGCTCTGAGCACAGAGTGTGTGCGTGCGTGCGTGTGTGTGTGTGTTTAACGGTTCAACGCTGCCTCAGATGTGAAACAGCAACTTTGAACAGCGGGTCATGAACAATTATGTTGTAAATATGGAGCACAGACTAAGTGGAGCGCTTTCCCATCTTTAATGGACAGTCACACAGATACATTTATATTTATTAACCAGGAATATTTCACACCCAAGGTTGGATCAAAACGTCTAAGAGAAATACAGATAATATTATCTATTGATCTGACATTATTGTGGTAACTGCTGTTAGCGCTAACTCTTCACCACAGGTTCTGAACATTTTGATGAGGGCAGACAGTAATTGACCTTGTTAACATGGTAACAACCGACGAGATGAAGTGAGTCATGGAGACGCAGGTTAATTAGACCAATGTAACAGTGTCTCTGTGAGGAAGAACCATGGACTTCAATCATATGATCCTTCATGTCCTTTGTCTTTGACGGGAGTTTAGACTTTTATCTTCAGGTCCCAAATAAAACGCAGCTTAAATTGAAGAATTATTATAAATTCACAGCTTTATAACTGGACAAAATAAAGAAGATCGTCTGCATCTACAGACAAGTCTGACTTTACTGTGAGTTCTCTCTCTCTCTCTCTCTCTC